TTTTTTAATAAACCCTTTTTCATTCGACATACTTTATCTTAATCGAGATATTAATAAGGAACCAGCAGATCAAGTAGCTTTTGGAATAAAACACCAATTTTTTTAAAATTAAACACTATCTAAAGATTTGCATCGAAGCGTTTATTTTTGATAGTGATTTTAATCACTGTCAGATATCATTATACTTGATCCAACTATATCACGTCACAACTGTGCCGCGACCCCCCTGTGCTGGGTTTTTTGTTTTCTTTAATATTAATCAAAGTATTGTTTTATTACTTCACAAAATAATGCTGATACTTAATTATTATCAATATATGGTTTTTACTCAAGTTTATGTAAAAAACTTAAGTGAAGTAAAAATGTAGTTAACCAATCATGATAATTGTACTTGTTAAAACTGAAATTATTTTTATTAAAATAATCAATGGCTAGTATTTATTATTTAAAATTTATAAATTTATATAAATAATAATTATGATATATATTTATATAAATACCGATATAAGAATAAAACATTTGTAGTTTTGATGTAAATCTGAGAAGGTAATAAATTTTACTATTTTTTCGTCGCTATTTATTCTCAGTTCTACCTTGATCAATTTTGATGAATAATACGTAAAAAAATTACAAATCGCATCTAATCTGAGACATTACTCTAAAAAATAGAAAAAATTTCCCTCTTTCCCCTTAAATGAGGAAGTCTAAAAAAAATTACATATTTAAACATCGGTAATTTTCGAAATTTTTTTACTTAAAACTGCCATAACTTATTGAAAAATAGATGAATATAAACAATTTTATTTATAAATACATTAGGTATTTAACTATCATTTGGTTTAATTTTTTGAAAATTTGACCCTTAACCGGGGGAATTCAAAATGATAACTTCCACAAAAAATTAACTTTTGAAAGTGTTCCAGAAATATTGACACATATATAACTTAAATTAAAGTTAATGTAATATACTTTGTTATAAAAAAAAAATTCGAACTTAAATTTGTTTTCATGGTGAAAAAGACTACCGTATTCAAAAAAGTATTATTTTTGTGTTAAAATTCTCGATTTTATATTTCTATAACTTATTCTCAGTTCTAGCTTGATCGATTTTGATGAATAATACGTCAAAAAATCACAAGTCGCATCAGGTCATATACCTTAACTTTGAAAATTGAAAAAATCTCTTCATTTCTTATTAATAGAAATTTCTAAAAAAATTACATTTTTTAAAATCGATAATTTTAAACTTTATTAACTGACATAATTTTAGAAAAATGGATGAATCAAAACAAATTTTTTTATAGATACCTTAGATATTTTTCTTTTTAATATATTCTTATGAAAATCTGACTACCTGTCTCCAAGTGTGGATTTAAAATGGCAACTTATATACAGAAAATTAACTTTTTTTTTAATGTTTCGGTCATACTGATACCTCATTGTTTCTTAAATTAAAGCTTAATTTATATACTTAAATGCAAAAAACCTTCGTGGTAAAAACAGACATCAAAGTTAAAGAAAAAATTACGAGTTTTGTCTAAAAATTGCAAAATTTAATAAATTGTACAAAAAATTATTTAAATATGATTTTAAGAAATTAATGTAAATTGTTTTGGCGTATTAAGAAGAGATGATTAGGGGATTAGTCGCCCTAATTATTTTTTCAAAACAAAAAAAATTTTGACTTTAAACCTGTTTAAACTTTTTAAACTCTAAGAGTAACATAGAAATCATTACCATAATTTCTAATGGTTCACTACGATATAAATGCAATAAAATAGCGATTTTAAGCTTTTCTCATAAATTTACTGTTAATAGTAATCAGACAGGTATTCAAAAAGTAAACAACGGGTCAATTGTTACGAATAGTGAGAACAAAAGAAACCATTTTCCATATACCGAACACTTTAAGTTCATTACTACATATCTATTAAACCATATGATTTTTTTAATCCATATAATATTTTCTATTTAATGATATCAATTTTGAAATTTCTAGTTGAGGTAAAACAGTTTAATATTTTTTTATTATATACTTTCGTAAAAATCAACTTTAAAGAACTAAAAAAATAGATTAAACATGACATTTTGCATAGATTATTTTTAATAATGATGGAAAATATCAAATAGTGGCTATCAAACTATTGGATATTCATTCAAAAACTATTGGAATAGTAAAAATATTCGATAGTTACCCAATATATTCGAATAGTTATTCGAACTATTCGATAGTCTTATAAATATTTGATAATTTATGCTAAAAATAAACTATTCGGTTTATAGAATACTATTCGAAAATATGAATAATAAGTATATAATGATTGTTAAATTATGAATAAAAATAATGACATCTTTTTTACATATTCTCGCAGTAAACCCAATAAGCACTTAACTTCTTTCCGTGGCATAAACCACTTATTAACAGGAAAATATCAATTTTGAATTAGTCTAAAGTAAATATTGATAAATAGTACTGTATAGAAAAAAAAATCATTATTTTTATATTGTATCGTAGTAGTCCTGGTGCAAGTATCGCCCTGCGTTTCAGACTGCCCATAAACCAAGTTTCTGATATAAGAAAGCTCTTTTAACTGTAAATAAAATTATATGAGAATATAAAAGATTATAGCCTATTAATATTAAAGTATTGGTCCTGTTATATAAAATGTGCGTTTCATACAGCGCTCACATTACGATTGGCTTAGAACAGCTTCAAATCTAAATTAATTTAAAAAGAAATTGTATAAGTGATGAGTCGTATATTACTTAATAAATAAATTAACATTTATTTGTTATTTTTTAATTATAAAATGTAATTATAGATCGGTTATGTGTTTTATATCGGCAACAAATACTAATTTATGAGATATCGAAAAAAATTCAAATCGCTTTACCTCTAGTATTCTCACTAGGGATCTAAAATGAAAAAGAGTATAAATAACAAGAGTAATGTAAAAATATATTAGTGTAATTTTCTAGGAAAGGATTATGAGAATTGTAAAGAATTAAAAAGTTGTTCACTTATGGGATATCAGAGTATAATTCAGAAAGTTGACAGCACTGTATTAATGTTTAATTCAACCATTTTGATTGGTTCCCTGCCAATTTCATGCCGGTACACGCTTGGAAAGCATTTCCGATGAGAACAATTTTTTTTTTTAGAATAATTTTGATATCAATGCGATATTGGTTAAGCTGATACGTTCATTGGTCTACGTGAATAGTGAGTACTACTCATCATACTTGCAGAGTTTTTCTTACGACGATCATCATACCGTTTTAAGATACCAATATTTCTATTTTTTATATCAAGGAACATCATATATCATCTAGTGTTTCATAGTTAGATTTGTTTTATTATAAGATTTCGTTTTTAGAAGTTCACTAATAGAAGGTAAATTTACATTGTACTTATTATTAAGGTTATATTATTAAAAATACATTTAAAATAATTATTGAGATACTGAATATATCGCGTGGTCTATTAATAATTGCGTTTTATGATATGTTTCAAAATTACAATGTATAAGAGATATGGCTATTAATCAATTTTTTTTTAAGTATCATAATTTTAGTACTTATATTGTATTTGTGTGGGATTGTAGTTTTCTAATTACTTATTTTTGGTTGTTTAATACTTAAATTAGTATTTTAAACGAATTCTTTTATTTTTCTAAATATGTTTCTAAAATAAACGAAAAATCAACGTTTTTTTTGTGAACTAAAGTAATTTTTTTATAAAAAAAAAAATTAATTTTCAGTTATTGTGATATTTGTCTTTTATTATTTTTTCCTATTATAAAAATAATTAATTTGGTAATTATCATTTTTCATTTTTCGAGAAATTTAATAATCTGTGTATGATATCGGGGACTAGATTATGTAGGAAGACTATAATAAAAATAGTGTATGATTTAAAATAATAGATAAGGTTTGTATATACAACATTAAGGGAATTCCGCACTATATCTAATAAAAGAATTATCACGTTTAATCTTCTGGAAACAATTTTTCAACATCTAAAACAAAAATAAATATGTAAAAATTAATACTTATAATTGTTAATTTAATGAAATTGTTAATACATACATATATTTTAAAATATATTTTTGGGAAATATTTAATTACTACTGTGTCTGTTAATTTTTTCTGAAACCTGATAAAATAGAATTAAATTATTCATTTATGCATAGAAATTTTTACTATAGGTGAAATTATAAATGTAGAAAAACTAAAAATTATAATATCAAATTTCTGTGTACATTATTTTCACTTAAACATTTTAAAAGTTTACTAATTTTATATATTTTTTAATTAATTCAATAATCCATTATTCTTCCAATATTTTTGAGCTCGAAGTCTGTTATATTCTGATACATAGCTAGAAAAATATTTCTGAGGACCAATAATTTTAAGCTCTTAATAGGGTTGATTTTTTATTGATTATTACGTTGAAATGTTTATGATAATTTCTTTAACACACTGCTCATGGTGAGCGGGAAATTATATCTAGATTTTTTTCAATTAATTTTACTATATTAGATTTGTTTCATTATGCATAATCCGTTAAACATTTTAGTTACTTAAAAAATATTTATATTTTGTATTTAGTGGGTTGGAAATGGATCTGGTTAAATTTATGGGGACTCAAATTAAATATCTTTATTTGCGTTTTAAATTATTTAATATACTTAAAGACAATAATATGGATTTTAATTGATTCATTTTTTAAATATTATGCATTATTTTACTTAAAAGTATAATTATGATTGAATTATTGATTTTTTAGCAAGATGGTTCAAAACACAGAAGTATCTGATTCTAGTAAGAACACTATACCATTAGGCAATTTGTCTGATTATATGGTAGTTGGTTGGGATATAGATACAACAGGTCGCCGTTTATTGGATGAAATTTGCCATATTGCAGGTTATACTCCAAAATCAACATTCAGCCAATTTATTATGCCTCATAATGACATAGATCAAGTTGCTAGAAGACGCCATTTGTTATGTACTATTACTATGGGTCGTTTTCGAGCTCTTAAAGATATCAAATCAAATAAGGTTAATAATAGTTTTTGTTTGTATTTAAAGTTTATACTAATTTTAGAATAATTAAATATTTTCTGAATCTTATTTTTTTAAACATATTAACTGTTTGTGAGCTAAATGGCTTAAGCAAAATTTTACACAAAATGTTCAGGTTTAGTTGATTTAAAGTATCCATAACTTTAGTTCATGTTTTTATGAAATCATTTTTTTTATTAAAATGTTAAATAAATTAGCCTGCACAAAGTTGATATAAGTAGAAGAATGCTTATGTCGTGTGAAACCCCTTTTATTAGCTTTAGTTGCATATGTTTTCATACAATTTATCATTATGCTAATATTTTAAAATAAAATAAATCTATTAGATTGAAGTTTAGTAATTAATGGAAATTTAGCTAACTTTAGATAAGGTGAGAACTGGAAACAAAAAATTCTTATGCTTCCCATAAAAAGTCAATTCTTGAAATTGTATTACAATAAATTTGTTTGAGTAAAATTAACTGTTTAAATTAATTTTCTTACTCAGTTTATTTTTTAAAACATATTCTGGTGTGATAATTAAATTAATATTATAAATTAACAAATAATATTAGGGTCATAGTTTTTATACTAAAAAAAAAAACTAAATAAATAAAGCAAAACAAAATTTATTTACAGCTTATAATTACAGTTATAGTTATCTTTTTTTTATGTATTTATGTTGTAGACTTTAAAGTCAAAAAGTGAAATATCTGCTTTAGCAGAATTTTTGGATTGGTTAGAAGAAGTGTTAAAAGATAGTGGAAAGAAAATGGCAATTTTAGTATGCCATGAAGTTGCTAAATTTAATGCTAGTCTTTTAATCAAATCTTTAATAACGTAAGTAATATAAATTTTCTATTTTTTTAATTTTTAGTCAAATATTTAAACTATTACAGGTACAACTTGATGGAAAGATTTTCAAAATTAGTAAAAGGTTTTGTAAATTGTCATTCATTTGCTCAAACTCACTGTCAAGATACCATGGTTATGTTTTCTCTTAGAGTTTTATCAAAAGTTCTTTTAGATAAAGATCATATTGAAACTCATAAGGCATCTGAACGTGCAAAGATTGCTTATGAAGTATGTTTTCATTTATAATTTTTTTAAAAAGAGAAACATACAAAAAATTAAAAAATATTAATTGAATGTGACCTATTTTATATAATATATACATTTACAATTATGCCTTAATTGGGTGCTAAACAACCCTGACCATACTCCAGAGTTATTTTATTTTGTTTCTATGTAAAGATATTGTGGACTGTTAAATATGCACAAATGACTTTCTTTTTATTAAATCTACTTCAAATAATTAATCTCATTAAATAGTACTATATTGAATTTATCTATGTATAAATTGACCTACCTTGTTTCCCTCAGCTTCACATCATGTTATCAACCTTTATGGAAGTGTATCAGGATCTGATCATATGTGCATAGTAAGGTTTATTTCTACACTTTGGGTGTCAAGTCTAAAGCTGTACTGCCCCTTTTTTTCATACAATGTCCGGTACACTCTATATGACTTTGATTTTTTAAATAATAATCTAGACTTAACATTTTAATGTTACAACTTTCTAATATTAGCAATAATTATAAATAGTATTTATAATTAATGATATCAATAATTTTTTTGTAATAACTATGCTCAATAACTCAAATTGAATTAATATATATAAGGTTTCCAAAATATAAATATATATATATATAATTTTACAAAAATGTTAAAATGAGTATATCAAAGGCCGGGATTTATCTCCCTAATCTCCACCCAATTGATTGCCAATATACTAAATATTTTATGTTCATTTTTGTTTGTTTTATATCATATTTTTTATTTTTTGTTAAATGACTAATATTATATAGATGAGATAATATATCTTTTTGAAACAAACGCTATGTAGTGTTATAAACAAAAACATATTTTATATCTTGGCCTTCAATATTTAAAGTTACAATTATTTTTGATGCTATAACTTAAGATCTTATTTTTTAGATTGTTCATCATTTGTGTGTTGGATTAGAAAATAGTAATGGTAATTCAAAAGATGTAGTTACTGGAGGTGAAGTTTCTGAAGAAACTAAAGCTAAAGCATTGTCTACATTCCTAACAGCTATTGATTTAGAAGAAAATCATTTACACAGTACTCAAGAACTTTTAGCTCGCCAAAAGTCATTAAACACAGTTTACCAAAGGTCTTTATCATATCAGACTTCTTCATCTGATCGTAAAAAAGCTATTGCTCATCGTAATACTATTGCCAAAGCAAATATAGATTATAAATTACTTGAAGCATTATGGACTGTAAGTAATTTTTACTTGATCCTAATTAATTCTTATGATCAATACTTTTTACTAGTATATGATTAAATAATGCTTAAATAAAATAAAATATTTTTTTTAATTTAAGTATTTTATATTTACTAATTAATTAAAAATGATTAGGAAAACAAAGAAGGATTCAAGGATGCACTTAAAGAAAAACTTATAGATTTAACTGAAGAAGAACAAGAAGATATTGCAATAAGTATCATTAAACATTTTGAAAACCCAGAGCCACTTACACCACCAAAAGTTCGTAGGTTTGGTAAATATAGAAGGCATAGTACTAGTAGTAAGGGAAACAGAAAAAGTTTTTCTGATAAGGAAAATGACAATGGATCTCGATCACCTACACCTACTAAAGTAAACAATGGAATCAAGAAAGAATTTGAAGATCCTCAAAATGGTATTACCAAAAAAGAAAATGTTTGCAATTAAATAATCTTAAGTTTGATTACCAATTTTTATCTAAATAAGTATTGTTGAAAAAATAAAATTAAAAACCGTTAAGTTTTTGTTGTCCTTAATAGACTACTTATAAGTTTTATATATACTACTAAAATTAAAAAAAAATGTTATGACTATTGAAAAGAATGTAGAACCAATTTTTCGCGATCCATAACAATTTCCTTCATGGATAATCATTTTCTTTTAAACAAATCAAGTTGATTTTAATATTTATTTTTCTTCATGTTCTATTTCTATTATTAGTTCTTTCACTTGTAAGGACGCGAAAAAGTTGAGGTTATTAAACATGTAATATTAAAAATTACTTGGAAAAAACATTTTATCATTATAACAATAAAGAAAAATATAACATAAAATCTTGTACTTCTTATAATAATTGGTGTAGGTATGTTATTTAATTAGTTGGTGTGTATTTCATATACTATACAGAAGTTTTATTTTCACAAGGAACTGGTACTATATGATGTTTTCAAAAGAGATTTTGAAAAACAAATATTTAAATTAATCTTCAACAGATATATTAAAAAAAATTGTTATGATAAATTTTGGGGGAATTAAAAGCTTAAATGACACCATTAAATATTAATATATTTAAGTTTCTGCTGTGGAGTGGCTACATAATTTTTTTAAGAATTGCCCTTTTAAATAATATAGATGGACCAACACTTTTTTTTTAAACTTCCAGCTACCAATGAAATATAAAAATAAAAATGAACATAAGATATCACATAATTCATAACTACCAATATTACAATTAAGATTTTTGTTGTTATTGTCCTTATATTAACAATATTTATAGTTTTTGTTTTTTAATATTAATATTCGTCCCTTAGAAGACTTGGTGAGGCTGCTGCCCCTCCAAACCATCTCTAAAATATGGGCCTGTATATAATGGTAATAGTAATGTTGGAAATATCTAAAATAATACTACTAATTATAATATTTTTGTTTACAGTATAAATATATTACGTGTTTAAATCAAGTATTTCCCTAATTATTTAATGACAAAAATAACCTAAAAAATATATTTGCAACAGACTACGATCATTATCGCCACTACTTCCCTTATAAAATCAAATGTACTTATTAATACTAAGCTTTAGATAAATAAACTTAATTAAACATGTAATAAGAACAAATGTATTCTATCATTGTATATTTTTATTATTAATCGTAAATATTTGTTGGGAATATCGTTACATTTACACTAAATCTTCTCAGTAAGAAATCACTGAATTTTACAACAACGTACCTTTTTGGTAATAAAAGAAATATGCTTTGTATGTAAGTTGTATTGTAGTACAAAACTACATGGAAATCTCTATTTAGGATTTCGTTTTTAGGTTAGTGGAGCTTTTTTACATTTGTTGATCCATAATAATCTTAGCGTTCAAAGTTATTAAAACTTAATAAGATAAATGCGTCAATAGAAAATAAGTATTTTAGCTGTTAAAATAACATTGACATGATGTGAAGTAAAACAGACTATTTGAACACAACTAATTTTTATTGTCTGTGATAGTATTATTGATGATAAAAAATAGCAGTAGCAGCTATAATAGCACTGCTTTTCAGTGTAAATAATAGCAGTGATTGCTAAATTTCGTAATTTATGTTTTTCAACAGTCTCACTGTATTATAACTGCTACACTGCTACTATATTATAACACATAATATAATGGAAAATAGCAGAAGCTATAGAGCGGCAGGCTTAGTGTTATGTATGATAATTGATAATGCACATTCCGCATTAGCTGTTAAGCGTCTAAAATGTTTCTGTTATCAACGCTTATCCAGTTACCAGATATCAACATCTAATACGGCAAATACAGTATTACCAGTAAAAACAAAAACCACAATAGTCAATATTACATTTTGCAAATCTAGTACATAGATTAAATACACATAGATAGGCCACGGCATTCAGACAATTGGCAACCGATTTTTTGTTAATTTATAAACGTAAAGAT